ACTGGTCCTTGGCTTGGTTCCACTTCTTGTTAGATCATGGGTTATGGTACTTGATCTTTTTGCCTGACTTTCTAATCTGGTTTTGACTATCATCAATCCCTGCCATGGTTTCTGCTGGTGGTTTGCATGTCTAACCTGCTCTTACACCCTAAAAACAATGCTGAGATACAGGCTTTAACATCTGTATTACAGTAGCCCAATAATAAACATTTTTTTTCCTTATTGGATTTTGTCCACCTCTTCTGCTAGAAGTGTTCGACATCTTTTCCTTTTTCTCCATTTACTTCCTCCTTCCTTGCCTAACATTCCTTAACCTTCTGTAATCCATCCTTAACAAAGGCCCCAGGGATTGCCCACTGTGTTAACATCCCTGAAATCTGACCGGCAGCGTGGAACCAGATGCCACTCAGCAGGCTGCTGGGGTTACAGAACACGCAGCCATGCAGAGATCTCTTACCGAATGGGGCGGACGCTCAGGGTGTCACTCTGAACTGTGCTCAAGTCGCAATGTGAACCATCTTCGCAATCAGAAGCTGCCTAAATGCTGGCCAAAGGATGATGATGTGTCCACAGCTGTAAATAACACCAGCAGCCCTGGAACTGTAACCGGTGTGTAACACGTTGTAGCTAAGTGCCCAGCAAATAATTAGTTAGGCTGTAACTGTTTTCCACTTGAGCTCACCCTGTAAGTTGACTCTGGGCGTAGTGCTGGAATTTAAAATCTCACCTTATGTTTCTTGTGCTTTGCCAGGATTCAGTGGTCACACTTTCCTGATGAGCTATATTTATGCATCTCCAGTTTTTCCTGCAAAGTTTCTGATCACCGTAAGAAACTGCAGTTTTTGACATGGTTATTCACTGTGGTAAACAGTGGTTAGAATTTGAGTTGATGGCACTGAGACAGGAAGTTCGATGGTTCTCATTCGTATACTGTCTAATTTAACAGTGTTATGGGGTGGGAAGTAGCGGTGATGCTACTCTGAGCTGGTTTGGGCTGTGAACTCTGAGTCTGAAGCTCTGCTTTGTGGAGATGTCCATTTTCAGCTCATCACATTCACCAGAACTGCCCTCTCCCACAGCGGAAATGTCTTCTGTCCCTGGTCTCAGTGGGCTGGGCAGTGTTATGTAACAGACACAGGTGTTTGAGGATCGTCTTGATGTCAGACACAGCACTGGGTGTAAAAGATACAGATGCTTATTACACTCTGTGTAATAAATGCTGTCTGGGTGTGGTGAGTGCCACGATGACCAGAGTGACGGGATGTGGCCCCGTGTGGTGGGAAGCTGTTGAGGTTCCTGGGCTGTCGTGGCAGCTGCTAAGACAGTGGTTAGAGAAGAAGTCTCCCCTCTCCCTCCTGTCAGTCCTTCAACAGGCCCTTGTGTCTCCTGCCTGTTGAGCATTGAGAAGGGCAGGTCCCCCCACCTAGAACCACACAGTGAGTAGTGATGAAGCTCAGAATCTCACCACCTGGGGGCCTTCAGCATCTGGAGCTGTTCCTTCTCTGAGCCACTCAAAGAGCATGAAAGTCCCGTTCTTTCACTTGGAAAACTGCTTTTTCTCCCTCCCACCTTGGGGGCCAAATCTGCAGTGTAGGAGAGCTGGGTGGATGTAGGGGAAACGCCTGATTGGATGGGCGGGATGAGGCTGAAGTTTTGTGTGTGTAGCCGTTTAAGAAGGAGAAAACATCAAATAGTGATGTCAGAAAATGATTTCTGTAAATC